TCTTTCCCACCGGTGAGGCTGCACTGATAGCTGGACTGGTTGCTCACTTTGGGGCACGAGGGAAAACTGAGGCATTCTCCACTTGGGTGCAGTTTTCACAATGATTGTCCTAATACAATCTTTTTCATTATTGAAAAGAGTCTGTTATTTCGGGGGGGAGGGTGGGTGGGTATTCGTGTTTTGGGCGGGAATTAAGTAATCCTCTCAGCATCCTCAGAAGTGCAAGAACATGATCTTATAAATGGGCAAAGTGAGGCACAAAGTGGCTTTGTCCTGGCAGCTCAGTTGCTCAGACTCCTACTCACAGCGCCATAGGAAAAGAGGTGCACCCTGAGCACTGCTCCGTGGGGAGCCACAGACCAGCAATCGGAGATCAAAACTGCAGCCTCTGGTCAGCAGCGGGGAGCTGGGAAGCCTCCCACAGCACGGAGCTGCTGGCACCCACCTGCCAGCCGGGCAGGCGTGCAGGAGCATTCGGGGGAAATGCCCAGAGCGGTTATTACCTCCTCGGTCTGAACAAACACCTCTTCTTTTCCCCCCAGCAGATGTATAAACTGGTTCAGCCCACTGCATTGCACGTGTAACCAGTGTGCCAGGGTCAGGCGTCCCGTAGGATGCTCAGTCCTCCTCCGTTTGGTGGAGGGAGCCAGGCCAGGTTTTCCGGCTGGGTTTTCCAGCCTTTGGCAGGAGCTGACCCCAGAGCTGGCAGCTCAGGGTTGGCACTGCTCCGGCTTTCCCAGAGTGCCAGGGAAAGGGACTGAGCCCAGCTCCAGCTGCAGAACAGAGTGGCAGATGGCCAGCCAGCAGGGCTTGTGGCCCAACAAATGTTTCCTCCTCTTCACAGCTCAGCAGTTTTTTTCCCAAAGAAGCAGTGTCGCAAACAGGTTATAACAGAGCTCTGACAGGAAAACTTTTTGTTTGTTTATTTACTGTCATTAAACCAGATTCATGCAAAAGCATGGGGTCTCTTCAAGGACTGGCCAGAGAGGTTTATCCTACCCATTCTTTATCAGCAGGCTTTAAAAAAAGGAGAGAGAAAAGGATCTGCAGGCAGCCCAGGACCGAACACTGTGTAAAGACAAACTTGCAAAGAGCTGTCTTTTGCCAGAGAGATTTTCCCACAGCACAATTGCAGGGCATCACTGTCCACCCAAAAAATGCTAGAGGGTGTTGTACCTCTCTGTTTGCATTTTAAAGTTACAGCTTGTAGGAGATTGTCCTCAGACAGGCAGCGCCACATGCTGGCCTGAGATGGCGGGGCACCAACCCAAGCAACACGCTCTCGAGCAGCCAAGCGCTGTGTGGCCCTGGTGGTTTAACCAGTATCTGCCTTGTGTGGAGGTGGCAGGGTGCAAGAGTCCAAGGGACAGAGATGGCTTGTGGACCCAAGCCAGGTCACGCTCTGCTTGGGGACCCTGGGCGAAGGCCTCCAATGAGCTGCAGCAGCTGCCAAGGAGCAATGCACCGGAAAGGGCGAAGGCTGCTGTGCAGCTGCTGGGACATCAGACAGCAAAAACGGGCCCCAGTCCAGCATGGCCAGAGAGAGGTGGGTGAGTATGGTGGCATTGAAGCTGAAGGCCATCATGGGGCAATTAGGGTCATCTACACCAGGGCCACTGGCTCTCAGCTCCCCCACCGCCAGTGGGGAGAGGTTGGGACACCCATGTAAAGTGAGCTGTTTGGCAGTTTTCTCTCTCCATCCTGACCGAACGGGGAGGATCCTTCTCACCTTTCCCAGTCAGCAACCCGTTTTCTGCCAGGTCTTGCTTCTTCCCTGAGCTCTCTCCCTGCTGGCACAGGAATAATCACGCAGGATGTGTCCTTAACAGGTAAGGTAACATGATAGCAGCAGGAGCACTGGCTTTCAACTGCCAAACAAGATGTGTCCCTCAGAGAGCAATGATTACCCTGGCCAATGTCTCCTTGCAAGCTCTGCTGCTCCTCTTCCAGGAGCAGAGCCAGTATCTGCTGACAGACCTGCGTCATTGCAACTATACAAAGTATCTGGGCAGTTCATTGCCTCCAGGCAATGAACTTCCAGAGATATCCCCCACTGCTTCCTGTGGCTTTGCAGACCCTCAAGGTTTTAGAGGAGCTTAGTTTTCAGCCCATCTTCTCCACGCTGAGTCATGTGCTCCCCTGGGGCAGCCCTATGGCAGGGGAAACACCATGGCAAGAGTCAGCTTCTGCGGCATGCAAGACTGCGGGGTCCAGCTCTTTTGTCTTGTGCTGGTTGGAAGAGGGCTTGGAAACTGGAGAGCAGGTAGGGTCCATCAGAGGAATTTCCCAAGGCTGTTCATCACGTGATCTGGGTCACCAAGAAGGCATTTCAAAGGGGCTTGGCTTGAAAAATGATACAGCAGTTGTATTCTTTTGAAGGCATCTTCAGATGGTTCCTTCCAGGCCTTTCCAGAGTCGGCATGTTCTGCTTGTTCCCAATTTTTGTTCCATCCGTTTCGTTCTCCTGGCTTCTGAGCTCCCTCCTCTCCGACGGTGCAATTTCATTCCCTATACCTGGCCCCCTGGGGCAAACAGAACTACATTGTCCCCAGGCTCAGAGGGCTGCACGTGCTGTTGTCAGGGAGGGAGAGAAGACAGCTGATCACCTCTAGTTAATGGTCTTAGCTGCTAATTAATTATTGCTAGAGATGTAGGTGTGGTGGGAATAGCCCAGAACTGAGTTTTGCAAACATCCAGCTCTGTTAATCAGCTCTGTCCTCTATGTAGCCAGGTGAGGCAGCATTCAGTGGCTTGTGGAGACCTAGCCTTGGGGTCACCCCCTCCAAACCCAGTGTGATCAGAGCACACTGCTTGCAGCCCAACCTGCAACACTCCTCAAGGAGGAAGACGCTTTCAAATTCCACAGTCTAAAAAGTCAATTCCTGGACTTTGCTAACGCAACTCTGCTTCAGAGCTGATCTTGTACAGGAGAGAACTGAACAGTCGCTGCATTCACCAGCTCTCTCTAAGGAGAAGGTAAGAGCCCCAGGTATCTGTAGCTGGACCAGAACAGGAAGGACTAGGAGAGAAATCATGCCCCAAGAGCGACTGTGGCAGGTCCTAGATCCATCATGGGCAGATCCTCGCACCCTTTCAGCCCTGGTCGGCACTTCAGCTGCAGCCATTATGTTGCTGAAATGGCTGGGCCAAAGGCAGATCCAGCAGAAGATGGAAGAGGCGAGGAAGATGCGCGATCTGGCCTTGGAGCAAATGGAGAAGGCAGTCTGCAAGTTTAAAAAAGAGGTAATTTGGGCAAAAGTGTTGGGGGGGGAGGGGGAGGAATTGTATTTTGGGTGCCCCAACAAAGGCGGGAGTCCTGATCCACCATCCTTTGAATGGTGGTTTGGGCAATAGTGAGGATATGTGACATGCATGTGCCTTGGGTCAGCTCCAACTCTTTTTGAGGGTCACCACCCTCCTTTGTCAGGGAAAGCCCTGTAAAGGCAGGGTAAAGGAGATATTTCTTAATGACCTGTTGTGGGAGTCCTGAGGATGACTGATGAACTAGATTTTAGTACTCCCTGTATCGGGCCACCAACCCCAGAAAGTATTCCCAGACGTCCCTGCACCCTTGCATCTTCATCTTTGACTACCGCCAACGTTTTCCATTCCTGTCCCCTCACCTCTGCCCCTCTGTCAGGAGCTATCTATCCCAAAGTGCAGGGGGAGTTTTACACCCGTCCAACATCTGCACATTGTTGACCAAAGGCTGTTTCGTCCTGCCCACTCCCAGGTAAAGAATCACCTGTTTTTTAGTAGGTCATGTTCTTGGATTTGGGACTTGTCTTAAAACCAAAATAAGCATTTCTAGCTATTCTCTAAGTTAATGATAAATTTTGAAAACCTTCAGCTGGTTCAACGGCCTTTCAACACATTGTCTATTAATTACAAGGGGCTAAGGGCCTACAAGAAAGTAAACACAAACAGGCCACTCAAACCTCTTAAACGCTCACGCAACTCACTGGTCAAGATGTGTTTTTCTGCCTGTTTTGGTTCTCTTTTAGCAACCAAGGCTTTGCAGATTCTCTGTCAGCAAATTCCCTGCTCCAGTACATACTGTTCTGTGGCAAATCTGCATTTCTATAGCCAACATCCCTTAAAATGCTGCGTTCAAGAGTGTCCCTGGGCAAACGTTAGAACTGATTGAAAAACAAGAAACTGGCTTCATGGGAGATTCTGAAGCTATTTCCTTTTGCAGTATCAAAGTGCAATAATTTCCTAATTAATTTTGTTGGTGTGCTCTATACGTGGTACTTTTCTCCCTGAAATTGTGATCTGGCATGTTTATTTTTGGGATCATTTCTAATACCTTGAAAAAATAGTATTTCAGTGATGGGAAAGTAACCCTATTATAATTCTTTGGCATTCTTCAACAATGTTGCTAAAGAGAAGTAGGAATAAATCATCCTGTGATGTGAAAAATACCATTGTAGCGTATTCAAGGTGAGCCAGACTCTTGCCCGATGAAAACTGGATATTCACAACCTCAGTGCCAGCCTTTGCTGTCACTGTCTCCCCGTGCATCCAATTTTCTACCCTTTGCAGAACCCAGGTGCCCAGACTGTGCACATCCTCTCGCTGCCGATGGTGGAGCTGGTGGAGAAGCTGAAAGAGGGGTCCCTGTCCCTGGAGAGTGTCCTCTACTCCTACATGGACAAAGTGAGCGATACCTCCAGTGTGGGAGAGATGTTAAAGGGCTCTTCTGCACAAGCAGTGCCAGTTTTTCAAACTGAAAAAAGAGCCTGTTCGCTGGGAGAACTAGCAACGCTGGGATCACGATTTTTCAATACCTTAGTAGTTGAAGGGTGGCTTATGGGCTAATCAATAGGACAGAGATCCAGGGCAGAAAACTATTCCAGCAGGTAGCACTTAAGTCTATAGGCAAGATCTGAATAGTGAATGCTGGAGGATTGAGGAGAATAAATGTTCAGCTTGAAATTTCAATTTAAATGCTGTTGCGTCCCTTCTGTCCACCTATTTGTC